TTTTTTTTTTTTTTTTTTTTTTTTTTTTTTTTGCTGGTTACAGTACTGATAATTAATAATAATACCTTTTGCAAATATCTTAATTCCACTGTTGTTTGTACAGATTTCTGTTTGAGTAATTTAAAAACAAAAATATGTTATTTTAAAAGCAGATGTACTACAGTAGATTTATTTAACAGACAGATAATGTAGGCAGATAAGATGAATACTGAACAAGTTTGGTACAGAGCCGTAAATGAACTTAAAACAACATACTTCAATAATCTGTATGCAATCAAATAACTGTTGAACAATTATATTTCAGACACTCAAAAAAACTGTATTCTGTAATCTTCATAACAAAAATTAAGAAAGACTATTTCCAAGCACTCAGTTATACTGACAGAAAATCGAAAAACTGTCGAATACCAGAGTATCATTAGATACCGTATCATTAGATACCGATAATCCTATTTCATACAGCATTTTGCAGAACTTAGAACTGTTCCTTGGACAAGTAGCAGCTTCTGGTACCCAGCTCTAAATGTTGCTTATCCGCAATTTAAAAGTTTGACGCTAAGAAGAAGAAAAGTCCGAAATGAAAAAATTAAAATTTCAAAAAAATAAAACAGAAAAGAAGCAGAAAAGAAACAAAATGACCCCAAATCATCAATGTTATTCGTGAAATTGAGAGAAACAATATGAATGACATTCTTACATTTCTCAAAACTACAAAAAAAAAAAAATCGTTTTCACAGTTTTTTTACAAGCTACAAAAAAATTTTTTATTTGTAATTTGATAATCATTTCCAATTGTTGTTGCTCTAAGTAGTGTATCTTCAAAAACCTTTCTTTACATCTACGTTTTTTAACAGTATATAAAAAGAAATAAATTTTAGAAGGTAACAGAATACCCTATACCATCACTGAACAAGAAGTTGAAACAAGAAAAAAAGCAGTCGCCCTTTCCGTAAAGACAAAGGCAAAGAAGCGAATTCTGTTCATTAAAGGTTCTGCCAATAAATGCTGAACATAAGAAACATCGTTTTCTGCTCTGTTCAACTTCAGCTCCCTGCGGGATGCCTTTAAAGAGGGTAAACAGAGGGATTCTTGAACTTGAACACTGTTGATTGAAGAAACACTACATTTTTGTGTGTGTCAAGCGTGGTGATGTAAGAGTCTCAAAACGGTTAGCAAATACCCTTTCCCTTAAAAGGCAACAGTTTTTTTTTTCGGGGAGATGAATACAGATTGAAGTTACTCTGCGTAGATCAGTACATCCTAATACGCAAATTCAACTTTCGGTTGCATGTTGCTGGTTCATATATGATATCAACGACTTCTGTTGCCAACAATCAAAAATGTAAAATAATAATCATCAAAACTGAATGAAATAATTATCAAGTCTTCAAAAAGTTATCAATCAGATCGATTTCCGTCTCAAATTTTGAATACAAACCGGAGCTTCATCTTCTCACTGCAGATACTACGCATTGAATAAAAGTATCAAATAAAAAAAATATATTTTCTTCAGTTACCAGTTATCCCATTTTTGCAAAATGAAAAATAAAACGTCAAAAAGAAAACTTAAAATTTGTTTTAAGATAAATGTTTCTGATGGAACGCCAATCAACTGAAGCGAAAATATCACCAAAAAAAAGGAGGACAAACGTCATAAGAAATTTTATTGGTAAAAAAAAGATAAAATATAGGTATTTTGACAACCTAAAATACCTAATATCACTTCCAAAACAAATTTGACTACCGTTTTTGAAGAAAAATTTGTAAGGAAAATATTAGTATTAGTGTTGTTTGTACGACTGCGCCTTCATCTGTTCAAAATCTTCTTCTGAAACAACCAATCTTTATTTGTACTTTCCGTTGCTTGTCCTTTTGAAGAAGCCGACAAAAAGCTTCAAAATAAAAGAAACCAAAAGAAAACTGAAAAATATTTTTGAAAAACCGAAAGCTAAGAGATTAGGAAAAATATAACTAAATTTCAGTTTTTTCGGAACACTAAGAACTCCAAAGTAAGAGTGATTTAAATTAAACAATGAGAAGATATGAAAGTAAACTACCAAAATACAGTTGATAATTTGTACATTTGGAGAAAAACTATATTCTTTTTCTGATTCGGTTTCCAAGGCAAAAATTTTAATATGCTCTTTTCTACGTCTGTGACTTTTCTAAACTACCAATAAATTACATTCAATTTTATTTAATACGCAGCTGCAGTGTCAATTGAAGTAAACACATTTTTTTAAAGCAAAGCAGTAGCTGTATCAAATGCCACCAATCACAGACTGACAGTATCAAATAGGTCCAATAAAAAATGAAAAATTAAATCTGATCTTCCTTAGAAAAGCAAATTTCCGCACTTTCTTAACGGATAAAGTTTAAAAAAAATATTTTCATGCAGAACCACTGTAACTTTCTCAAAATGCCAATCATGCCTATCGCAAGTAAGCCAGATTCGCCACTCTAAACTATGAAAGGCAGAATTTTTGACAAACCTCCGAAATAAAATTGAACAAAAATACAAAAAAACCTAAGGAAACTTGACAATGTACTTTTCATATAAAACCTGCTAGTCAAACCAAATATTTATTTGACAGTTTTGCACTCCCAAGGAACAAAAAATGGGCAGTAGTATCAGTCCAAAGTTTTCCCAGTGTGAAATGCAACGTATTCGATGTGGTGACGTTCACGTGATGCTGCTCAGCACCCCCCAGTTGCTCACTCAGCAGGACAGCACTCCGGAAACGTCTACATTGAGTTCGAATATCACCCGAACCATAAGCGCTCCTCAGTACCATAATTTAAAAAAGCAGATTCCTCTAAATATGCGTCGACATGGCTTTGCGACACTCACCTCCTCTCCCCCAACCAGAAAACCTTATGGCCAGCCATAAACTTTAAAGTCCTAGTGAACTGTTAAGCCGACAACCAAAGGATCTTCCCATATTTGCGGCCCTCAAGTCCAAGACACTTGAATAGTCTTACCCTTCTTGAAAATAGGGGTAATACGACCAATCCTTAGCCAAAAATACACGACCAACTTACCACGTCCATGCCTCAATCGAAACTATCATTCCACTCAGATATCCACGAGAGCGCACATAATTGTAATCTTTTGGCGCTTCTTCAGAACAATAGAGTTCCTGTTACAGAGAACTGTTATAGAAAATAGAGAACTCTAAAACAATTTATTCTCTTTATATTCGAATAGTAGAACTTTCCCTTTACATCTCTAATTTCGCAAAAGCAACAGATAAAAACTACTAAATTATAGGCATTATTCTACACTGCTTATCAGCTCCTGATTCTCAAAAGCTGTTATTTGTTTACTCCGATCTAATCAGATCAGTCATTCCAAATTGGACAGCTCCTTCTTCGAGAGGTACACCAAGATACTAAAAGAAATATTCCTGTTAGGTGTTGGCTTTACTAAAGCACAAAAGTTACTTCACAGTGAAATTACAAATAAGAAGATAAAGATAAGACGAAAAAATTTAACAAGATCTAAACGAGAAAAGTGGTCCGAAAATTTAGAAATATCAAAAATTCTAAAGCAGTAAGTAACGTACTTCTGAGAAAAGTATCAAGTAAAAAACCTACAAAACTTGAAACCGATAAACAAACTAAATAAACTTTTAGACATACCCCTATTAAAGTTACTGTCTCATCCTTATTTGTCCAATGCTTCACTTTCTCAGCATGTTCTTTCTTTTCGACTTTCTTCCAGTGTTCAAACTCTCTAATATCAGCGTGATATTCGCTAATCTGCCTCAAACGAATTATACCCCATACGATACCAAGACCTAAACAAAGATTGATAATTTTATACATATACGTAACATAACTAAATGGATCATACAGATAAAATTTGCCTACCGAAGGCAACGTATCGTGAGAAGCGAATCAAAGGAGACACCGGATAAGCAGGTGGTAAGATTACTGTATTCGGATGACGAGGGTAGGGTTGAGACATTCCTATAAGCTGATTTAAATCGCATCATATTAGGTGAGTAAAGCAGAATAAAAAAGATGGTGAATCGCAAAGAGAGTTTGTTTTTGAATCCTTTAAAATTCATACTCCATATGAATAAACGTTTTTTGGCCAAAAAAAAAAAATATTTAAAAGTTCTATCAAAACGTGCTATAATCCCTCCCAATAACTTTAAAAATCTTAAAATAATACCAGTCCTCAACCAAAATCAAGTAATCACAACAGGGGAATTGTATATCGCCAATAAAACTATACTCAAATCAAACTAATTAGTTAACACACATACAGTGGAAAACCAGAGCACGACCTAAACAACGCGAAATTTAGAAACTTAAGATTGTTTCAGATTGGTGAAACTAGCACTACTCAACTCAATTAACCAACGACTGTGAAGCAGAAGCTCACTGAACCATTAGGTACCTGGACACCATCTAATCAAAGTCAACTTCTGTCTCTAACGACAGAAAATTAAACGCTGCTGTAGTAATTGCTTTCTTGGCGAGGCGCCAAGATCTAAACGTTCTCCAGCCGAAACTTCTTCAAGCAGTGTAACGAATAAAGCAGCTCTATATATGGATAACTGATCGGTTAGCAGTAGCCATTTAAAACTCCATTTCATCGCTTGCAAAGTCTTCCAACAAACTTTTCGGCAGGCTACGAGTTGGACGATGTTTTATTAGTACCAGCTCTTACCTGTGAAGAGAATGTAGTGAATTTTATGTATAAGAGATGCAGAAATAAAGGCTGCTTAGAATTAAGTGCCTGTTAACTCAGCTTTTAAGCTAACATCATATGAACCTTTTTCTAAAATCCTGAATTAGACAGCATTTTTTTAAAATTAAGCAGTTCTTGTACAAAAAATTTCATAACTGTTCACCAAAAGGCTGTGTGCTTGAGATCCCCTTCCTTTAGCCTAGGTGACGAAAGATCAAGTCACTGTCAACAGTTACATATATTCATTTTCGTGACTGCCTGATTTTTTAGAGACACTTTATTGGATGGAAGCAGTGAGTAGAACAGCGTGAAATTCAGTGGCTGAAGAAGACGACGAATGACAGAAACTATACTCATTTTTCATTTCCCTTATCTACGGTTCTTGTCTCTCTGTCAGCAGTAAGGCGATCCTGAAGGCCTAGCCCATTAAGAAGACTCTGAACCAGACAATATATAGGAATTATCTACGGAATAAGGCTTACTAAAAGGTTACATATAAATAGGCTTAATAGAAGATATTAACCATACCACTCTCAGAATAACGGTATTATTTTATACTAATAAATTACGTAAGTGCAAAGTGCGTAGTTTTAAAGTATCAGCAGCCACTGCATGTCTATGTTAATTGGGCGAGAAATTCTTTTCGTTAAATTTTAGATCCTCAAAGTTGCTACTGGAAATTAAAAAAAAATTCCACTGCCAAACCTAGTCGTTATTAAAAAAGTATTGTGAAATTAATTATAATCCTTTGTACTACTGTAATGGGAGATTTACGCTCCCATGCTTATTTATTCTTGACTATGGCAATATCAACAACGTCCCTTCAAAAAGACCATCATCTAAAAGTAATCTCGCATCAGGTTACACTTGATGCACTTCCAAGGCTGCGCTAAAAGCGGAAGTTTTTGCCAAATTTTTCAACAGTGCTAGCAAAAACCTTTTTGAGATGCCCTTTACAGCATACGACCTCCAACAAAATCGTGCATAGTTATTTTTTTTTCTTTGAATTTCATAAAAACTCCCGATTTGAATGTATGGATTAAGGATTATTTTTTGTTCTAATAATACTCAAAACTTTCTGATTTTTTAGAGTTGTCTACTGTATAGCCTCAAAAGTATTGTAGAGTATTTCAGCAATTAATGGAAATACCTGAACAGTATCACTTAATTCTGCCACATTGCATTACTGAAGAATCTTTTGTGCTTTTAGAGTCTCCTTAAAACCATTACAATTACTCTTACTGTTCCGGTCATACCGTCATGACAGT